TCCAGAGAATTTATATTTATACCGATCAACGAATGATCTACATTACTTATGGATGCTATTAACTATATTAATTAACAAGAACGTTTACCCTTTAAATCTCTTCTGAAATTTTTCTTAATGATTATGGTGATATAAACCTTTATTTTTTTAGTTTGTGAATTCCTGAGCGAACACTAGAAATATATATTAAGCAAAAAAAAAAAAATGTATATGAAAAATTCGACAAGTTGCTGTTCTAAAAGCCAAAGTATTTATCCGAAAAGAAAGTGTACATTCGAAATTCGTGAATTCGTAAAATATCAGCATTTTAATATCAATAAGTGTAACTGGCCTGTAAGAAATTTTATCCGAATATTACCATTATTATCCCATTATTTTTTGTGAATACTCCGTGAATCTGCAACATGATCAATAAAATCTAAACAAGACGAATAATCTCCATGATTTAAGGTTATAAATTCCGCGAATATGCAACATTTACGGAAAAAACACGGAATATAAATCACGGATCGACTTTTTTTATAGGGCTGGTAATACTGTATACAAGATAATTGCTTTGTAAAATTATTCGCTTTTAAGGCAAAACAAGTATTAAGCAAAATTCGAGTCAACTAGTAATAGCTCTTCTGAATATGCTCCACTAAAGGTGTTCTCAAACGTTTAATCAATGCGCCGAAATGTATCAAGGTTTATTGCTGTAACGTCCAATTAATAAAAAGTGACCATTATGCCGATCATTTGATCATTTTACAATCTCACGTGTATAAATCGCAAGTATTTACGTTATAATCGATCGGTAAACCAACGTGGTGCGTGGGGGGAGAAATAAATTTTTACATGCGCATATACGTATGTATGTGCTGGAATGTTTATTAAATAAATTCCATTTGAAGAATTAATAAAGATAAAGATAACAGATAAGGTATACAGTTTGTACGTGTGAAATTAGATTAGTAAACAGGGATGGTAACAGGTTGTACAAGGATGCTTTCTAAATACGCCTCTCCTTGACCATATGAACGATTAGAAAAAAAAAAAAAAAAAATAGTGTACTTAAGGAGAGTTTGCATTTATAGACCGAATCGGAGCATATGTTTATAAAGTCCGTAGTATATCGATTTATAATCTTTATTTGTAATCACCAACGCCAGACAAAATTCCTAACTTGAAAGAACTCGAAAGAAAGAAAGATTGTCAAAACTATTCTTAGAAGACGTATTTTTATTTAGATCGAGACCATTTACTATGTTTAAATACATTCTCACCATTAACAAAATATGAATTAATTAATATATTTTATCCATTCTTCTCTGAAACTTTTTATTTAAAAATAATTACACATAATAACGATAAAATAGTTAATGTACATACGTACATACAGTACGTATATATGTGTTATGAAGTCATTAATTTAAAAATTATCGTTATCTCCCATGATTAGAACACCCTTTCACGTAAAAAAATTAAACCAAAATAAAACCATTTAACGTTAAAAAAAAAAAAAAAAAATTCTCTATAAAAGGGTAGCCAACTTTCTAATTAATTACGTAATATTTTTTTTAAAGGGGCGAACGAAATCACATGATCACGATGCAAAACAATGAAAAGACTAATTAAAAGAATAATAATTAATTTATTATTTAATCATTTTATTCAAACTTGAAAATTAATAGTGTAATTAATGCGCTTTTTTGAACATAGGTTGATTAAAGTTTGTTATTACGTGTATAAAAGATGTCATGGGACCAATTATTGATTTAAAAAAAAAATAAGTTGGGTCGAAAGGTTGAATTGAATTCTTTTTTTCGTCAATATCGATTTACTTTACAATTTACTAAATTTGATGAAAGTATGAAATAAAATGTACCACATGATTGCATACGATTTTTTTTTTTTTTTACGAACTCTAATAACAACATTCGAAAATAACAATAGAAATTCAATAATAAGCTTTATGCAAGAGAAGGTCCTAATTTTATTGAAAATAGTAGGAATCGCATAATAATAAATGCAAAATGTAAATTATAATATATACCCTGCATATTATTTGTAGAGACTTACACGTGCTTCTTTGGTCATACGACTTCTTTGCTTTCTTCTCACCGGTAGTTAAGACTAAACTTTGAACTTAATGTAACAAATTTCAAGTTTTTGCTTCTTAATTTGGGTTTAAAGAACTTAAAAAAAGAACTGTCTCTTATTTAAAATATAACTTATTGATATATTTGACATTGATATTGATAATTTAGTAATATCATTTTATATCCGATATATATATTACCGTTAAAGGATACAGTATCTATTGTTATGGTATATTTATCTCGTAAAGTTCTTTTCATAGTCAAATTATATTATGAATTTATCCTAATATATTTAATATATTTTATACGTATATTTTTATAACGATAAACAAGTTGTTTTTTTTAATATGTGAACATTGTAATATTTGAGAGGTAAGTAAACACAGCCATATTACAATATTCTCACTAAGCCTATCAATATTTGAAAGTTTATTTGAAGTTTTTATTGAAATGCGTAAAAGAAATAAAGGCTTATACATTATAAAAAGCTTTGTTTAACGGTTAGCATTGTAAATTGCTTGTATAAGTAACTTATTATCGTTTATTACATTTGTGAGAATTTCACTGATTGGTTTACCTAGAGTGTATTTACAAAATACATATTTTGCCAATTTTAATATTTGAATCTGTTTTCAAAAATATTAGGTTAAAATTTACCTAATTATAACTCGCTCGATTTTAATACCATAATATGGGCGTTGTTCAATAGAAAAGGGAGAGATCTCCTTTTTAAATCTGGTCAATTTGACCAGAATTAAAAAGGAGATCTCTCCCTTTTCTATTGAACAGCGCTCATATATAGATAAAATTAACAAAGTCCTTATCAGTTAGTATTGTAGATCACGCATACAAATATATCCACGCATACATTTACTAGCATAATGAAGCATTTAAGTCGTGAGAAAGATCAAAAAAAAAAATAAAAAATAAGCATGCATATTTCTAAATAAACAGTATATAAAATATGCGATGACGCGAACTTGAATGCTAAATGTAGGTTGGTCCATAGTCAAAAAAGAAATATTGACTTTGTCTTAAATTAGAATTATATAAATTCATTCTTACAGGTTTGGAATGAATGAATGAGACGGGTTTTTATGGTGCCATCGGGTCCAGCCATTGTATTAACAGGATTCTATTTTATTGATTATACATGAATAAATAATGAAACATTTATATAACAGATAACGATAACGCTTCAGATATTCAATATTACAGTATTAAAGAAACACCAATAAAAACAAAGATTTCTTTAAAAAAAACTATACCCAAGAATAGAAACGAGAATTTTTTATAATAATTACTGTAAGATATGATCATCAAAATATTGCATGAATATCAATATCTAAAATCAATTCTATGAGTCGTTGACAAATCAATGTAAAATATCACGGCATGTGTACCGGTAAATCTATGATCAGATGATCTTTTCTCGGAGGCGGTCAGAAGATAATTCTGTAACAAACAAAGTACAATCATATTTCATTTTTTTTATTATTCATTTAAAAAAAAAAAATTTTTTTTTTACCTTATACCCATTATATCTAAATATGATCCAAATTTTAGATTTAGTTGAAACATAAAAATTCAATCTTTCTTAAGTCATGCTAGACTTCAAAATTTTGGTTCACTGAACTTTCGCACACACGATCGTCTTGAATGCACCAATTATAAACGAACTCCTACTTTTTACTTTCCTGTAACGGATAAATTGCATTCTAATTTGCTATTTTTAATTAGAGTATATAATTATTTGTTGAAAAAATATTACAACATACAGGATGCGTTATTGTGAGGATCATAATTTCCGAAATACCTTTAGAATCGTAAGGTAACCTTATAAATAGTGAATCTATTACAATGTCGGGGTTAACTACAATTATAACAATTATAACTTAAATTATAATGTTAGGTTGTAAATGAACTTAGTTTAGTTTCACCACTGAATTATTTAGTTTCATTATATATATATATTTTTTTTTATTATTATTATGAATGAAATTTTACATACAGAAATTTTATGATATTTATGCGTATTTGAATACAAAGAAACCGGTAATTTGGTATCAACCATCTTGTTTATCACACACCAACTTTTGTTTTTTTTTGATAAAAAGGTGCGTCGAAATCTAGTTTGAACTAGCAAGTGGGCTTTTCTGTCACCTTCTTATATTCCCCTATATACAAAAAAATATATATATATAAATATATAGAATCTCAGTTGAGCTGAGCCTTGGTTTCTTACATTCTCGAGAAGAATTTTAAGATTAACCCTCTCCTCTGTAATATTCTCTGTAACATCCTCTGTAATATCCTCTGTAATATTCTCTGTAATATCCTCTTGTATATCCTCTGTATGTCCTCTGTATACGAACGTGTTGTTAAAATATTGTTCGCCTGGTTCTCTTTAATCCATTGAACTAATAACGATTGTAAGAGGAATAACTGTGTTATGTAATATTGGCTCGGTTAACCTCTGTAAAAAAAGAAAAAAGTCAACAGGAAAGTAGAAAAATAAATATATATAATAGATAATAATCATATATCATTATCATTTACCCGCTGATAACAATAATTTACCTGAGAACGACTTATCACGATTCAAAATATGTGCTTATTGAGGCATTATTCTTACCTCCATTCATCGACATAAAAACCGTACAATAATAACCTTTATAAAAAAAAAAGAAAATTCTTAATTGATATAATTCAAAAAAAAAATTCGTTAAAAATTCACATAAGAAAAAAACCCCGCAAAAATTAAAACCTTTGTTTATATAACTCGAAAAAAAAACCAAAATTCATATTTTCTATGATTTCAGAATTTTTTATTAATTCGAAAATTTAGAAAAAAAAAAACAAAAACAAAAAAAAAACATCAAAAAAAAAAAAAAAAAGATGGCATCATTCAATCAAAACATGGACAATTCTTCAGTTTTCGCATTTCATTCATACGATCCTTTGTATCCCAGTGTAAAGTTTACTCAGAAGCTACATAATCAAATTACAAGAAGTAATAGCCTTCAACCAAAAAAAAATAGTGTAATTAATTATCATTCAACAACGAAAAAAAATGATCCGAGACTTGACTCAGCTATAAGCATGCCATCCGCAAAACAATCCACAACAAGTTACGATACATCTAAAGGTGCTACGTTTTATATTAAAAGTAATGAGAGTTTGGAACGATGGGTTGATGACTTGTTGAATGAGTTTGATAAGGCTATGTCTGTAAATTTAAATACCGACATTCGCCGAGATAATAGTAAAAGAGTTAAAGAGGTATGTATATACCGTATTTATCAATTTGATATTCTGAATTTGTCAGATTAAACTAATCATGTGATTATATTTGAAGTTAATTAAACAGATCGATGACAGACTTAGTAGAAATATAACGAACGATATTGAAGGTCTTCGGGAGGTTAGAAAATTTAATATTAAGTATTTTTGTGTTATTTTTATGGCATTTACGGATTTAATTTAACACGTAATTTTTTTTTTTTTTATAGTTTGTTCGCGGAAAGAAATTTGACTATGAACTAAAGTTAAAAAACGTAAATATATACATATAGAATTTTATTGTATATAAAATTGAATTGACCAACCAACAACCCGCCATTTTATTTGATAATGTAGGAATCTTCAAATTTTCATGATATAATAGATGAGACGTTATATGAAAATGATAGTGCTGAGAAAACAATTTCTGTTAATCGATCAAATGACACTACAAAAGTGGTATGCTAAATATTCATAAGTTCATTCTACTATTATTACTCAATTTTATTGTTGTATTTAAAATTTATTGCTTTTTATTACAATAGCAGCAGTCTGTGTTGAATTTATCAAATTTATCAAAAAAACAGCCAGCGAGGATCCGTGTGGCAAAGTTTATAAGTAAAGTTATCGCCAAAAAATCATGCATAGTGGAAAAAGATACACAAACAGTAGATAGTTGTAACTGTTGCCCGACTCCCCAAGATACACGAATATCCAATAACGATCAAATTGATCCTGCTAGGAGTAGAATAGAAACTGCACGAAAACAGAATTCGCATATTGTTGGTACGATTGTAAAACGAAATAAATATGAGAGACTTTTGAATGGTCGATATTTTATTGATAAAAAAAATACTGTTGGTGAAGGGCATCATGGAAAAGTTTTCAAGGGTAATTATTAATTGTTAATGTTTTTTATTCATGTAAAAAATGAGACTTATGTATTATTATTCAATAGGTGTGGACCTTCATAATAATGCGAGTGTCGCAGTGAAATGTTTGAAAAAGCAATTTACATGTTCGATAGGACGATTCCAAATTGCTGATAAAAAACAAAAAAAGAGAAATGCAGAAATAATACATGAAGGTAAAATTATGTTACGAACGGATGGTCTAGTAAGTAATACATTATACTATTGAATATACTATTAAATTATTATTAAATTTAAATTTTTAATTATTATTTTCTTTTTCAATTTTATTAGCCAAATTTAGTGCCACTTTTAGATTTAGTAGAAACCCCGCGAAAAGTATATTATATAATGCCTCTTGCAAATAAAGACCTAAGCGATGTGATTTATCGTCGTCGAATGAGTGAACATTGTGTTCGAGAACTGATGAAACCTATATTTGAGGCTGTTAAAGGTTTACATGATTCTGGATTTGTTCATCGGGATATTAAGGTAAGTTATTTAAAAAAAAATTTTTTTTATATTAATTGTAGATGTAAGCGCTGTACTAACTTCTTATTATAAATATAAATATAGCCCGAAAATATAATGTTATATCAAGATGGATTTGCAAAACTCGGTGATTTTGGTTTATCTACCGAGTTTGGTTATCACTCTGGATTACAGGTTGTTGGAACACCTGCTTTTGCTGGTATGTTTTTTTTAAATTTTATATTACCAAAGATATTTTTTTTTAAAAAAAATAGGATATTTATATTTTTCTTTTGTTGAACTTATAGCTCCTGAAGTTCTAGGTCAATTTCATAGAACAGATAAATTGGCTTGGTTAAATTACAAACGTGCAGATTTATGGTCATTAGGCGCGACATTATACGTTAGGTGAGTGACGATTTATTATATTTAAGAGAAATATATATATATCATCTCTTTTTAATGGTATTTTTTAATTAAATAGTCTTGCAGGTCGATATCCTTTTGATGAAAATCATCCAGTATCTGAACAATTAGTATCCAGTATACCATTTCCAGAACGTAGATTCAAACATTATTCATCCAATGCTGTCGATTTAATACAAAAATTAATGGTTTTTGATCCTTTGAGGCGAATTTCTATTGACGACGCTTTACAGCATCCATTTTTTACAAATGAATGAATTAATTTTTAATTTACGTTTTTTCTTAATATTAGTTTTTTATTGATGTCCACATATATCGAAAGTAACGATAAAAAAAAATTTTTTTCACGTATACTGAAAAGTAGCGACCCCTTTTTTTTTCGCTAAAAAAGGCTAATTGTAGCCATAATTGAGTGGACATTGTAAATTTTATTTTTTGAGTGAAAGTAATTTGTTAATGTTAATCGGAAGAAAAATTAAAGTTGCTCGTCTTGGTCGGATTTAGTTTATTGACTGGTTTTACCAAGCACCCGAAGAACTAGATGAAGTATTTACTTGTACATATAAGGGTCGATAGTTGTGTAGATAATGAAGAAAAGAAAGTTTCAATTCTAAAAAAAAAGAAAAAA